TTATAAAGGAATAGTTTTGAGCTAAAGGTTTTTTTTTTTGTTTTTTTTTTACAGTGTATTGTCTTTAAACGATGCTGAATTGTCGAATAAGATCCTTACATTTGGGCATAACTTCGGTGTCCCACTTGCTGCCGTGGAGCCCGGCGCACAGTGGCCCACTTCCTTATTCTTTGCTGGAAGAAGCTGTTTTCAAATATGTGGACATACAGGTCCTTCTCAAAATATTAGCATATTGTGATAAAGTTCATTATTTTCCATAATGTAATGATAAAACTTGAACCTATATATATTTTACATTCATTGCACACTAACTGAAATATGATGATGATGATTTTGGCATACAGCTCATGAAAACCCCAAATTTCTATCTCACAAAATTAGCATATCATGAAAAAGGTCTCTAAACAAGCTATGCACCTAATCATCTGAATCAACAAATTAACTCTGAACACCTGCAAAAGATTCCTGAGGCCTTTAAAACTCCCAGCCTGGTTCAGCACTCAAAGCCCCAATCATGGGTAAGACTGCTGACCTGACTGCTGTCCAGAAGGCCATCATTGACACCCTCAAGCAAGAGGCTATGACACAGAAAGATATTTCTGAACAAATAGGCTGTTTCTAGAGTGCTGTATCAAGTTACCTCAGTGGGAAGTCTGTGGGAAGGAAAAAGTGTGGCAGAAAACGCTGCACAACGAGAAGAGGTGACCAGGCCCTGAGGAAGATTGTGGAGAAGGACCAATTCCAGACCTTGGGGGACCTTTGGAAGCAGTGGATTGAGTCTGGAGTAGAAACATCTAGAGCCACCGTGCACAGGCGTGTGCAGGAAATGGGCTCCAGGTGCCGCATTGCCCAGGTCAAGCTACTTTTGAACTAGAAACAGCGGCAGGGGTGCCTGGAGGAAGACTGGGGAGAAGGAAATGCCAAAATACCAGAAGTCCAGTGTTTAGTACCCACAGTCAGTGATGGTCTGGGGTGCCATGTCAGCTGCTGCTGTTGGTCCACTGTGTTTTATCAAGAGCAGGGTCAATGCAGCTATCAGGAGATTTTGGAGCACTTCATGCTTCCTTCTGCTGAAAAGTTTTATGGAGATGAAGATTTCATTTTCAAGCATGACCTGGCACCTGCTCACAGTGCACAAACCACTGGTAAATGGTTTACTGACCATGGTATCACTGTGCTCAATTGGCCTGCCAACTCTCCTGACCTGAAGCCCATTGAGAATCTTTGGGATATTGTGAAGAGAAAGTTGAGAGACGCAAGACCCAACACTGTGAATGAGCTAAAGGCCGCTATAGAAGCATCCTGGGCCTCCATAACACCTTAGCAGTGCCACAGGCTGATTGCCTCCATGCCACGCCGCATTGAAGCAGTCATTTCTGCAAAAGGATTCCTGACCAAGTATTGCGTGCATAACTGTACACAATTATATGAAGGTTGACTTTTTTTTTTTGTATTAAGAGCACTCTTCTTTAATTGGTCGGATGAAATATGCTAATATTGTGAGATAGGAAGTTTGGGTTTTCATGAGCTGCATGCCAAAATCATCCCTATTAAGACAATAAAATACCTGAAATATGGCAGCGCGGAGCAGGACAGAAAGAGACTGAGCAAACTAGCAAGAAAGGCTCCTAGGCTACACTCTGAACTCTGTGGAAGAAGTAGCTGAGAGGAGGGTGCTGTCCAGGCTTACATCCAACATGGAAACACCTTCCACGCTCTGCACCAGACTGTAGAGGAGCTGAGCAGCTCCTTTAGTGAAAGACTTTTACACCCCGTTTGTAAAAAGGAGCGCTACCGTAGGTCATTCATCCCTGCTGCAACCAGACTCTACAATGTGACACTACAACAGCAACAACTTGTGCAATGTATAATGTTGTTTCTATTTGACACCCAGTGCAATAACTATTTATAAATACAAATCCATCTGTATGAATACCCATGTAAACACCCTGTGCAATAACCCTTTATAGTAACACTACAAAAAAAGCTGTCATATGTGGATGCTCTATATATACTTTATATATCCCATGCACCTTTTTCTTACTTTGACACATTCTTCTTCTCCTTTGACTGTTTGAGCTGATGTAACAGGTACATTTCTCCACTGTGAGATCAATAAATGCAATCAATCAATAGATATATGTTCTCCAGCAGTCTAGGCCTATAGCAGCATAACTATAGAGATGGCTCTGGATAACCTGAGCCACTCTAGCTATAGGCTTTATCAAAAACGTAAACGTTTAAGCCTACTCTTAAAAATAGACGGGGTCTGCCTCAAGCACTAAATCTCGTAGTTGATTCCACAGGAGAGGAGTCTGATAACTAAAAGATCTGCCTCGCATTCTACTTTTAGAAATTCCAGGAACCACTTGTAAATCTTCAGATTGAGAGCGAAGCGCTCTGTTAGAAGGAACAATCATACCTCTGAATAAGATGATTATACATGCTTTTATATTTATTTATATATATATATGTCGGCAGCATATTTGTTAAGTTAAGCTATATAGGAAAGAGGAAGGCTATGTTAAAACTAGGAGGACCAATGAATATGATTGAGTTTACTTCTTTTCAGACATACTTACTAATGAGAGATGTGTGCATTTGTGTTTTGTTACAAGATATGATTTGTATTTATACCAGTTGATTCTATGTAATAGGTTTGTATTCACGCAGAAATTTCTGTAACTTTGCTTTGTCTGTGTCATTTTCTGCTTTGCACTGTCTGAAATCTACAGAATTGTGCACTACCATTTTTAGATTTTCTTTCATTAAAAAACATTGTTTTTTTAAAGCATGTAGTGAAGAAAAAGAGAAAATATAAATAACTTTTTTTTTATATTCTTTAAGTAGTACAGTATCCAATGACAACAAATCTGTGTGCTATTATCAGTATTTGTTTAAAGGCTATGCTTGTATATACACATATTGACCACTTTATTAGATACACTTGTTTAATTACTTGTTTACACACGATTGACTCAGCCAGACACATAGCAACAAGTCTAACCATCTTGTCAAATAGATGTAATATAACTTGCTGAAAGTCAAAGGGTGCATCACAGTGTATAAGAAGCAGGATTTAAGTTTTTTCCCAGAAACTTGGACAACTTTTATTAGACTTAGACAAGTTTTATTGTAATTTTGTTTACACAGAGTGTATACAAAACAAAATTTTGTTTTGTACAGCTTTCATTACATTTCCATTTCTTTAAGTGCAACAGTGATCGAATATAAGTGTTGTTGGAGAAAAAAAACTTGTTCAAAAAAGTTTAGAGCATTAAATATATATGATCTAACATGGAACCATCTCATACATTTATAGAAATGGTATGAAAATATCCAGTGAGCACTATCTGTGTGGATAAGAATTCCTTGATATATTGAGGAAATGGACTCTCTGACATGAAGTAATGGAAAGGCAACATTAGCACTAATAACTTTAGTAACAAGCATGTAGAATACCGTTTTTAAGTATGCAGCAAGTAAAATCTTGAAGCAGGTGGGCTAAGACAGCAGAAAGATACACAGGATGCTGCTCCTATCTGCTAAAAGCAGGAAACTGAGAGTACAGTTCACACAGACTCAGCAAAATTAGGCAATAATGGGGGGAAGGTGGCCTGGTCTGACGAGTCTACATCAGCTGGGACATTCAAATGGTATGGTGAGAATTAGGCATAACAAATAAAAAAATAAAAATAAATCTAAATTTCTAGGTCTAACAACGTTGGACTTTCCTCCCATGTTTTTTTTTTTGGTTAAAGCTGCATATGTGAAATACTTTCAAGATTCATTTTAACTCCACAACCTACTTCAGTGTTGCCTCACATCATTTTGATCCAGTAATGACCACAGAAACTAGCCTGATAACCCAGACTAAATGTGAGATTAAATATCTAATTTAGTCTGGCCCCTGAGACTTGAAGATTGTTGATGAGAACAACCCGTTTTCTTTCAAACCGTGTCTGTGCCTATTGGCCAATGCTCTGACCAATGAGCACAACTGACTTTGACGTTGGAAGTACGACAGAAAGCTGGTGGGGGAGTGTAAACAAACAGCCTGTCTGTAAAACGGCTAATACGTCCTTCTTAAAAATGAAAGAGCGTAGAGCCTCTTCATGCTCATGTTTCAACGAAAAACTCAAGACTAATCCTTCAAAAACTGGTTCCAAAGCTGAGTCAAAAATCGCCATCATTTAATTACGCATTAAATCAGTACATGGACCATATAGTGACGCTTTAAAGTATAATAGCCTTGCCTCAAATGATATTAAAACATGCTTTTATTAAACAACAGCAACAGAAAAGAGAACTTTTAGCTTTCAACAGAGCGTTACATTGAAAGCTGCTGCTGGTGCAGTGCATGCTTCTGTTCAATAGTTGTTGCCAACTTCCTTGTTGTGCTTTCTCCAGCGTCGCGCAGCTTTGTCGTCACGCCCTCCAAACCCCGCCCACTTTGCATCCAAAAATTCAAAACACATCTCTGCATTGTGATTGGCCCGCCAGTTCTAGGGCCTGGGGCACTGTTCGAGGCTAGACCAAACTCGCAGGCAAAAATAATTTTGACCGGTGGTGGGTGGGGCTAGTTTTCCTGGCTACACAGGAACACCTTGTTTTTTGGTAAAATGATAATCAGCAAAGCATAGGTAATAGGCCCTTGAAGGCATATTTGCACACGGATTTTGTTAGAATCATAATGCTATAATGTGTCAGTATGGGTTCTGTCTATTAAATGAACAAAGCTTCTGAGCACATTATGAGTCAAGTGACACACAAGTGTTCACTAGTAGTGACCTAGAGACCTCCTGCTGAACTGCCAGCAGACTGTTACATATGGGTTACTGCACACGTTAATTTATATATTTGTATTTCATCCTAGAATTTCGTCTGGGAATAAATAACATTATTATTATTTTAATAATAATTATTATAATTTGAATAATCAATGGGTCGTCCTATCCCGCGCGCGCCCAGTGCTGACTCTCTCTGTTGTTACATTGTAGCGGAAAGAATGTCGGAAAGGGCCGAGGATGACGTCAGGGGGGAGCAGCGCCGAGCGGCCAGGCAGCAGCTGAAGCAGCAGCAGATCCAGCGGGGAGAAGGCTCCACAGCAATGGCGACTGTTGCGGAGCGGAGATCGCTGCCTAGTCCTGAAATAATGCTGGGACAGCCTTGGAGCAGCTGGGTCGACGCCGCCAAACTCCACGGACACGACGGTGAGTTCCTCGGCGTCCCGAACGTGCGGGAGGAAGCTAAAGGGAAGCGCGACAGTTCCCAGTCCCGTCCCTTTTTTTTTTTTTTTTATTTGGCCGATTGCATGCAGTTTTCAGGCTGGATATGAAGAAACGCTACTGGCAGCAGCAGCACACAAGCAAGTGCAACTATTTATCTGTCCCTGTATCGGATCACCTTGTTTTCAGGTGCTGAATCGGAGGAAAGTTTTAAAGACTTGGGGAAAAATCGAGAAGCCATGCGTTTGTGCAGAGAAGGTGAGTGTTTTTTTTTTTCGCTGTAGGGCCAAAGGTGTATTTTGGTTCTGGGGGTTTGAACATAACATACACACTGGCTCAACACACTTTAGACACTTGATTCAGTCAGTTTACAGACAACCAATGCCTATAGACACATAAGTATTTGTTACTGTGTAGTAAGCATGTTTTTGATCGTGTTTACTTTCACCTTTACATCTGTAGAAAAAGAACAGTAAGAGTCAGCAGTTAAGTTTGTACTCACCGCTTATTGTTCTCATTGAAAGCTGATCTAAAACATTTCCTTAGATGGGTGAGGAAGTGTCTAAATGTTTTATGTCAAAAGATTGGATTTTATCTGAATGAACGTAAAATAACATAATGTATGCAGGTTAAAAAATAGAAAAATAAGACAGTTGCAGACTTTTAAAATCTGTATAACCAAAATAACTAAAATGTTTTACTTCTAAAATTATTCAGATGATTCCATAAAACTTTCAAAATATTTTCTATTGTTGTATTAGGCTGCTATTAACTTATTTATAGTAGTCCTATTTTTATTATGCTAAAACGAAAAATGCAATCCAATCCAATCCACTTTATTTATATAGCACGGTTTAAATAAACACAAGGTTTCCGAAGTGCTGCACAAAAAGATAAAATAACTAAAATAAATAAAAGTAATAAAATAAAAGACGATATTATATTCACTATTCAAAGGAAGAAAAGACATTAAGCTTGCATCATTTTACTAAACATGCCTAAAACATGTAAATATAACAAATGTTTTGCAGTTGAGCATGTGCTCCATCTCAAATCAGATATTTGCAGTATAGATATTTTTAACAGAATAATAGTAGACTTAGAAAAAGAAACTTTAACCATACACTCCCTAACAACATTTCTCTAATTAAAAAATAGAAAATAAATGAAATACCGAGCATATAAATATACGTAGTAAATAAGTAAAGCTAAGACATGAGTTCTTTGCTGAAATATAAATGATTAAAAAACTAAAAAATACATAATATTCCCTAAAATGAAAGTGGTCTACAAAAAGTTGTATCTAATTTATTGATTTCTATCTGTCTAAATGATAAACAGTTTTCTTTCCCTTTACTTTAAAGCCTTGATCTGTTTTCTTTATAAAAACAACAGTGTTTTAGGAGATAACTATTATTTTCTATTTCTTACTCAGTTATTTATCCTATATTTATTAAAGTAGATGCTGGGAAATAAACCTCTAAACAAAATTTTATTTCACCCAGAATGTCTCGCAGAGATGTGATTTCGTTGGGGATTTATGGACAAGATGAGGCACAGTACTCTAAACCATTACCTAGACTTGGAAACAACACAGACAGAAAGCAACAGTTTTACAAACTAATTCACGTGCATCAAAGGTTTAAAAACAGTTTCCTAGTTACCTATTTAAAAACCTAACTTAAAGGGAGAACACCTATTTTATAAAAACATTTTTTTAAATCTAGCAAATAATGAATCAGGGTCAAGTATTTTCTGAATATCTCTACTACTATAATGAGCATTTTTTTTAAAATGCAGTTTTGACTAAATCAAAACAGGATCATTGCACTTGGTGTTTAACACAATCTATCAATCTCTGAGCAGAATGCAGATGCAATTTGGTCATTTGTCCATCTGTGCTTTAAAAATGTAAAAAGTTTCACCTTGAACCGCACTGAGAGCAGTGCTTCACATCGGTTTATAAGGCCACTTTACTCAATGAGTCTCAAATACCGATTCTGTCTGGTTTGCAGGCCAATATTTCAAATGAGCGTTAATAAAAAAAACATTTAAAAATAAATTAAAAAGGGCTAATAGGATTGAGTACGTAGAAAGCTTGATTAAGGCGCAGTGGCTGACAAAGGGCATAGATTGTTTTCCTTAATAAAGACTTGGGTTTGATGGAGAAGTTCTAATTTAAAGTTATATTGTAACGTGCTCAAGACAGGGTTTACCTTGAAAATACTGCATGAATTTCTTGGTCATCTTAAATTATAATATTGCTAAATCTCTTGTTGGTGAATCGATGGATGACTGCAGCACAGAGTGAAGCTCACAACTAGGAGGGTTTCTTGGGAACCTTTCCCAAAGAATGACTGGGAACTCCAATAATCAGATATTGTGAACCTGGTTTCTTCTGTTGAGTAAAATAATTTTAGCTTCGAAAACCAAATGTTTAAAAAAAAAAAGCAACACCAGCAATCATGCTACAAAATCATGGTGTTGCTCATAAATAAGGGAAAGATGGGCAAAGCCTTTTTGTAGCAATGCGCGGCCGTGATAACGCTGCTAATCCCCCAGGAAGGAATCGCATAAACACCATGGAGTTTTTTTACCGATGGCAGCTGATGTTTCACATCCCCTTTTAGTTTCTGAACATCTGATCTCTTTAAAAGGTTGACCTGAAACAAGACATCCAAAATAGCCGATAGTCGCGTAGCGTACACATTATGATGTGAACGAGTACGCCTGAATCACACCATATATCATATTGGGACGTTTATGGTAATCTGTAGAGTCTGTGACATGTGGAGGAAGGCAAACATCTGTGCTTGTATTAAAAGCAATGAATAAATTGGCCAGCAAGAGGATCACAGGGCAGAACTGTGCAATATATTACTGGCTAAGGAAACAATCCCCAACCATATTCTGAGTACAGACCTTGTGTTAATGCAAGGGGTTTCATTTATCGCTGAAATATGTTACAGAAGCAGCTTCAAATGTTCTAAACTCTTAAGGTTTGTAGGAACGCATCTCTACCCCCCTACAACAGTCTGGTCACAGGATTTTAAACTGAATGTGAAAGCAACTTAAGAAATAAGGTATGGGTAATCCCTTAGGATGTACATACCTAATGTATGCACCCAGCAGCAGGTATTTTTAACTCTAAACCTGTGCAGTCCAGAGGTGAGCTCTGCTGTGCAGAGCTACAGCGCCTACAGGTGCAGTCTCTGAACAAGCCTGAACTCTTTGTATATCAGAGATGTAAGCTGAAGATTGTTCCATCTAGTACTCCTCATCTGAAAATATGATGCAGTTGCTTTTTGTAGATTGCTTCTGCATTCAAGCAGGAGTATGGAGCTTTCTCTACTTTACTTTTTTCTTTTTTTCTTAACCAGCAACAAACTGGTTTGGTTTTTAGATCCAACGCTCCCCCCCTGCTCTATGGCTTATACATCGGACACTGCTTTCTGTCTAAAAACACACTCCTGCTCCTCTTCAACAGTTTTTTCCTAAGATGCTCATGTTGAACGTCACTGGTTCTGATTCTTGGTCATCTTGTATCATAAGTCTCAACTCTTGGTACAACATTTCTTTCTTCTAGCTTATGTCAAAGAACGACGACTCAGAAATGTACAGTAAAGATAAATGTAGAATTTTAACACGTACTTGATACATTCACAAATATCTTTATCACATTATCACTGGTTTAATGAACTGCTTGGACTGGTGCAGATATTTGACCAGTGATCAAATGTCTAATCTCTATTTGACAAAGTAGACCTCTAATAAAGTCAGAAATCTGTATCAACATGTAAAATATTGTTTATTAGGTTAGTATGTGCTTCATTCCAATAATATATTAGGTTAGATTTCCTTTAGAACGTGCAATAATGAAACCCTTAATAAAACCCTCTTTGTCCAGAAACGTTTCATTATTTTAGCATTACAGAACGGCCTGAACTTTCTCTTAAGTCTCATGTCAGCTAAAGAAATGGACCTGGTGTGGATGTTGAGTGAAGTTACGACTCCATTTAACTGGACTGATAGATTGTTGGTACGAGGAGCATTAATGCATCACACTTAAGATGTTATATCTCGACAAATATTCCATCCAATTGGTTCTTTGTTTCATAGTAATATTGCATTAGCCCTTTGCTATGTTTGCAGCTCTAGTAGAATGTAACTTTTGCATTTTGCTACTCTTGATCCTCGCTTTATTGTAAACCAAAATGTACGTAGTTTATAGTTATCCCTTGTTGTATTATAAATTATACCACTAGTATAGCATTGAACAACGTTCCTGTTCATCTCGTGTTTTAATCTGGTCTTTCATTTTTTCTTTTCCCCCAGCTATTTTATTTTCATTACACTGTCACAAGTACAGAGCATTGAAATGGCCTCTCTGCATTTAACTCATCCTCTTTGGGCAGCACCGGGCTGCCATTTTGCGGCACCCGGGGAGCAGGGTGGGGGTTAAGGGTCTTGCTTAGGGTCCCAGAGTGTCAGTCCGTGGGAGAGGGGCTTGAAATCAGAACCTCTGGATTGCAAGCGCAATGCCCTAACCACTAGGCCGCCGCTCCCCATTTTAAACAGTTCAGAAAGTTAAGAGTTAACTAGAGGCCTGTGGTGCTGTATCTAATATTAAATTGGTAAACAAGGTGGTTGGTGTACATTTAATTTAAGACCATCAGCCATATCCTTTTTCTTTTTTTGCCTTTGTGCTAATTAAGCCCACTTTGTTTCTCTATCCCTTCTCCATGCTGAGCGGAACATTCATATCTCTCCTTCATATGGAAACTCAGATTAACCACATGAGATGTTGCTGTGATCCAGCACTGTGCAGCTATGATGCTGCAGTTTATTGGGTAGAAGAATAAATAGATAAATAAAAATAAACACTAATCATTGGGGGGTTTTGCTTAACAAGAGCAGTCATTTGGGAATTTTTCAGCACCAGGACACTCCACCAGTCTTCAGAGGTTTTGCTCTTTTTCTCTTTGAGGGGCGCATGTTCACCTGCGTGCAAACGTTCAGTCTGAGGAGAGCAGGCGTCCCACGTTTTTATAGCTGTCGCTCCAGTTCCTCAGAAAGGCTTTTTATGTATACCTATGTACAAACGAAGTAAATGGTTTTTAAAAACACAGTTTCTATGACCGTTACGCTCATTAAAATTTGGCCAAATTCAGTGTAATGTTGTCAACTTTCAGGGTATTCAGCCATTGTGTTGAAATGTGATGGGAGTTAGTGCTGAGGTGGACCTATTCACTCATAAACAATAAGCCCATCAGCCTAATTGTGATTGACATATTTTTTTGCGACACTAACATTTATTATTGGCTCCTGAAGCATTTAGAACATCCCAGCATCCATTTATGGCCAGCTCTCAGAGGGATTTCTCTGGATCTGTGTGAGGACTTGGCATTTGAAGACATGTCAGATTAATTGTTCTCCTGGTCAGACGAAGGCTGACTGGCAGAGCGGGTTGTTTTGAGATTTCAGGGCTGCCAGCTTGAAACGTGTCTTTGTCATTTAGCAGCGTCTGTTAGTGACTGTAGTCTGTGTCATAGAGCCCAATCAATTCATGCTGCTTGTGCCTGAAGTTTGCCTTGATACAAACAGCCTGTGTGTGTGTAGGGGAGACTAGGGATACCAAAAGTGGATGACTACACCTCTCCGTTATGAGTCATCGTTAGAGGCCTCCTGTGGTATAGCTGCATTTCTACATTGGTCATTAACTTAACACACACTTTGTTGAAATAAATGGCAATTAATTATTTATGAATTCAGCAGTCTGTTATTGTTTTTTTTTAATGAATTTTACAGTGGCTCTGTCACAGTTTGCAGAGCTGGGAAACGTAGCGCCGCTGTCAGCCACGGGTCAGACTGAGCCAGCATGTGTGCTGCTCAGAGGCTGTTAGAGCTGCTACCATCACACCTAGATCATCCATCACTGCCATGGCTGAGGATGCAGAAATTAACTAGACTCTCATTGTTTTCCTTCGTCTCAGACTCCCAGGCTCTCTTTCTTCTTTTCTCTCTTCCTCCCTGTCGCCTAGGCCTGCTTCTCTGCTTTTTGTTTGGTTTTGTTCCCCCTGATGTGTGTGTTTTTTTTTTAGGGGTCTCTATGCTCTTGTGCCCAGTTATTCTTCTCCACTGTGATTTTGTTTTTCTTCTTGTGAGGTTCTTACAGTATTATAACCTTGCAGAGTTCCATCCAGAGCTGCACAATGTATATTGAATCACAAAGGTCATGATTACAATGAACTGCTTGGATGAAACATCCTCCATTGCTAATGATGCAAATATTTTTAGGCTTACTAGTAGGGTGAGTATTGGCATGGGTGTTGTGATACGATACATGTCCCCATACGTGAATCACAATACGATATTAACCCTATATTGCATGGTACCCATATAATGTGAATTAAATGTGTAGATAAAAAAGCAACCTCTATATGTTCATCAGATGATATTGATCGTTCACTTATTTTGGTATCCATGTTGCTTTGAGTTTGAGTCGGACCACGTCTTTCACTGTGGCTGCCTCAGTTACAGATATAGCGCTGCGCCGCACAGCAAAAGGGCTCCACAGCGCTATCTGCCGGAGTGGCGGTACAAAGGTAGCCCATTTTCCCTCAGTTTTAGGTAAAAATGTTTTGCTTTAAAAAAATTTATACTAGGAAGTAAAAGATTGATATTATATCAAGCAGCCAAAAATCATGGTATATGGCCTAAATGATTTTTTTCTCACACCGCTACTTACTAGAAAGCTTTTTACTGCTTTTAATGCTCAACACTTCATCTGCACTCTAGTAGATAATAATAAATTAATTTCTCCCGGATTTAATGTTACCTCATGAGACTCAGAGGTTAGAGAAAAATGCACACTTATTCAAAAAATCTATTTAAACATTTAACCCCTCTGTGACCTGTAAGACCAATAAGTATAACAAACTCAGACTGAACTCTAATTGAAAAATTAAAGGTAGAACATTCAAACTAGTTCTGATTGAACAAGTCTGTTATAGATAGTCTTTTGCCACTTTACCCAAAGGCCTCCTTCAGCTTAATGCTGTTTTATTTGTCGAAGATACAGATAAAAATTTTTTTTTAAATACTGAAGTCTAAGGGGTAGGAACCTTTTAGGCATGTGTCAAATCGACCAGATTATGATTCAAAAGAATAAGATATTAATCTCTGATCCCCCATCCAGTGTATGCATCAGTATTTCATTTAATCAGTATTTAAAACTAAATCCTTCTTAATAATCAGTTTTCTTCTGGATATTAGGACTACTTCACACCACGTATTTGGAGCGCAAAGCTGCAGAGCAAAAAATTTGATGTTCTTTTTACATAAGATTTGTTGGGAATGGCTTTTATCACTCGATAATAGGAAGTTTGTTGGCCGTGGACAGGAATGCAGGGAGGATCCATCACACTCACCATTTCACTCACCCTATAATGGGGATTTAGTCTAAATCAGTTCATAAGGTTTCCTCCTGTGAACCCTCTTTTTATACCAAAATGCTGCCAATACACCATTATACGGTAGCTTTAAGTTAGAAACACGTTCAGCGGTTGTCTGGAACACGTCAAATACTATAAATATGAGTTGGAGAGCTATGCACAAGTTACCCATAGGTTTTGGATAAGCTAGACACCACGACTTATGAGTACCTTACACTTAAGGTGTCTCAACGATCAGATAACTTGCCTGTAACTTATGTCCAATGTGTGGCATAAGTTAGAGGTAAGTTGACCGTATGTCGACGTGTGCCAGGGTGATTCAGCGTACTCATAACTTATACTACACATACCCATAACTTATCTTACGCATGCCATTGTTTTTGCCAGGTTTTTCGTACGTCAGGAATACGCTGGTCTAAATTGCCATGGTGTTACAGCGGCTTGAGGGTGTGCTTGTCTTTCCCCACAGTCACCTGTATGAATATATCGCCATTTGTTGGACTTATCGCTTGGAAACTTGTTACATATCACCCAACCTTATCAAGCACTGTCAATGCTCTGCTTTTCATGGAGTAACACACAGTAAAATAAGACCACATTAATTGGTTAATTAGCTGGGTAGAACTGACCTAACAGACATGTCTGTCTAATAAGCGTAATGGCTGATCCTCTGAAGGTTTCTACACCCTGCTTGTATTTTCCAGCAAGTACAAAAGGTTGGGTTTGTCTTGTTTGATTCAAAGGTAAAGTGTGGCTGCTTTGTTTTTATTTAGTTTTTTTTTTCTAGACAGCTGGCAGCAGCACAAAGGAGTATGTCAGGGACTGACTCTGTTCTGTACTTTCTAACCATCTAATCTGTAACACCTAACATGTAATCTGAGGTTTTGAAGTTAAAAGGATCTGAGGTTTTGCTTAGCAGTGCTTTTAGAATGACAGACAGAAAATGTCCACATCATTTTCTATATAAAAGACATGCGTTTGTGATGTTGAGTAAAGACTTTCTCCTTTTTATTTACTGCATGAGCTGGACGTTCTGCATTAAGTCTTTCCCCACTACTGCTGCTAAATCAGACACTTGGCAAAAATGCTTCAACCAATTGACATATTAAGAAGCCTCAGGCTGGTCAATTTATCCACACAAGACCCCTCTGAGAGGGAGCCCAGCAGGTAGATGCTTTTCTACGGTCTTTGCTTAATGGCTCTCAACCCTTCCAGGCTCAGCCAGTGATGTTTGGAGAACACTTGACAACCCTCGCCAAGTAGGTATTGGAGAGGGGCTCCACTTGGCTTCTCTTGTATCCTCTCGTCTACTCATCTCATCATGGTGCCCCAGGCGATCTCTTAATTAGGCTCCTTAATGGGGGAGTTTCTGATTCTGCTGGTGGATTTTGAACACTCTCTGTTCCTGATTTGTGTGAGAGCCTTATAAGATGTGAGGAGATGGAGACAGAGGAGCTGTACGCCCAGAGCAACAGGAAAGCATTAACTTCCAAAGAGTTTTTTTCTTCACATTTTGATCCTTTTAAACCAAACTTTTTCTATAACCTGTTTTGATTGTTTATCACAAAGTTATTATATGATTGTAATACGAAAGTGAAATAATATATGGGTTTAAAGCTCTTATTCTTTTTTCTGCAGTTACTGAAAATCTAGAAGCTGAGATTGAACAGTGAGCTTAGTGGAGATTATGTCTGGACTTTGAATGGGCCAGTGATTAAAACAGTGATAGAACTTACAGTGATGGTTATTTTCAGAAACTCTGCGTTAAATTTTGCTTTCTTTTCAAATAGGTTGCAGTTTGAAGTGGAGCCAATTGATATGATTTCTAAGTTTTTGTATTAAACAGCTTTTGGGGAATGTTTTTGACTTAATGAGACTGATTAAAGAAGAAGCTTGCAAGTTGTACTGGGTAACACGTTTGTGGTCTCGAGCTGTTCAGTGGCAGGACCCGTCTCTATCTAATCTATCTAATCTAAATGGATAAAAAGTCAAACTTTTTTTTGCAAAAAAGATTTAGAAATCCAGCTTTCCATTATCAGTCTATGTAAACTATTTTTTAAGCCCCTTGGCAAAATTTCTCTTATCCAGTTTGTAGATTTGTGTTAGTTTATATGTAAAGAAAGTAAGTCTTAGACAGTGTGAGTCCGACTGCTTTTGATTCTTTTCTCATAAACTTAATTTTTTTTGTTCAATTTTCATCTTATCATTTTCCTCCCTGCTGATCTTTGTCTCCAGTTCATATTAGAACAAACTCCTATGTACAGATTTTACACGGCTGTTTGTCACATAGTAGTCCACATTTTACAATATATTCAAGAAATATGATGTTCTGTGTGATAACCAGCTTTTTTTCTTTAAATTAGCTTTTGAGACTTATCTGCTAACAATTTATTTTTCTGATGTTCCTTTTAGTGATGCAAACAAAACAAAATATTTCCATTATCTAAAAATAGACCTAATAACAGACATCAGAATGTTACTACAACAATAGATGAATCTTTCAAAGTTGAATGAATGTGTTGGATGATCCCCAGTTGGCAGACCCGTCTATTTGAATACAGGTCAAAGTTTTTTTTATCTCTTCTCACTTTGTGCTCTCTGTCTCTCTGCTTGTCTCCTTCACTGTTTACAGACATGCCCATATTTGGTCAGTGTCCCGCGCAGGACGACTTCTACCTGGTGATGTGCAACCACTGTGGTCATGTGGTCAAGCCACAAGCCTTCCAAGCACACTACGGTGAGTGTTACCAAAAACACGGTCGAGAGGCGGGATTTAAGAAAACCGAACGAGGTTCTTTTGAATCCTGCTTGCAGCTGTGCAGCCTATGAGTCATATGGCTTAGAAAGTTTCTTTTTTGAGTTTTTTTTTTTTTTTTTTTTTATCCATCTTTTTATGTTGCCGTTAAAATTAAAACTCTAGGTTGGTGCTTATTTCTTCAGATTCCAATGTACATTTTTTTTAACAGCGGAACAACGTGCACAAATTTGCTTCTTCTTGCATTTACTTGGATACATTTTTCTGTTGATGAATAACAATTCATCATCAGAATTGCAGAATGATTTTGCAAAGATGTTCCAGGGCTGTCACATTAACGGCTTGATCAACACTTTGGACATCATGGAGAAATTTGCTGGTTGACCTTATTATTTTTTAAAAGGAGTGTTAAGATGAAGGTCAGGAGTAACATGCAAAAATGGATCAGCGGAGAGGTTTGAGGACGATGTTTCATAAAAAAAACTCAGAGTTGCTCCTGCTGTGTCTCGCTTCTTCCTATAAATATTTGATAAATCTACCGTCTCAGTGTTCGTATTCGTTGGTAGTTACTTCTCACTGCCTTTTATTCTTTCTGAAGTGTCACAGCAGTGAGTCTTGTCAAGGTCAGCCACAAGGGGGAAGCAAAGTAGTTGCAATGGTCTTGCAGCAATTACCTTAACAATTATATTACCAACCCTGTGTAGATCTATATAGTCTGGGTTTTATTTATAGCATGCTTTCATTCATTGATTGGCTTTTAATCCTGTCACAGAGGTTGCTAATTGAGACATAGAGGAGAAGTCGGAGGATAGCACCCTGTCAGGAAGTTAAAACCATATTAGTAGGTGACTGACATGCAGAAAGATTATTGTGATTTTGTTACACAGACTCAAAATCTGATTCATAGATTAAAAAAAAATGTCATAATGAGTTGTCACAGTGATTTCAGTATGTTTTGTACCTTTTTTGGGTTTAGTTTTGCAGTGATGATTCACATAATGCACCAGTCAGAATACACAGCCATCTGGTTTGAATCCCTCATTGTAGCTTTCCAGGAGCTGAAGATTCCCCCTGCAGTAGTTAGAGCGAGCTCCTATTATTTGCGGCTTTTTAAAATCTCAGTTTTTCCTCTAGATTCTTAATGTTGTGTTTTGATCAAATATAATTCAGATCAATTTCAGCTCACATCTTTGTTTCAGCTCTGCAGCAAGGAGTCAAATTAAAGCTCAGTGTAACCATACATGGCCATAAAGATGAGCAGCTCTCCTGGTAGCCTTTACTCCATATTCTCCTTCCAGATGTCATTCTGGGGAGTCCCAGTACGGTGTTCACGCTAGACCAGAAGCCCTGATCTCATTCTAAATGGTGAAAAAGTGGCCTGTAATTGTATAGTAACCTTTCAAGTCAGGGGACACAAAGTATTCTACATTCAGTCATTTGCAGTCATACATATATATATATATATATATATATATATATATATATATATATATTAGGGATGGGACGATTTATGAAAACCGTCAGAACTGTTCGGTTCAACTGTCTCGGTTCGAATCGCGTATGTTTCGTTCGGGTCATGCGCTGCTCCTTTTTCTCATAGGCGAAGCGTTTACACTCCAGAGCAGAAGGTGGCGGTACTGCGACCAAAGCCAACCACCAGTAGTAAACAAGAAGAAGAAGCGAAGCAGCTTAGCCGGGCGTAGCAGGGGAAAAAATCAGTTGTTGTGGAGAATTGTGTCGGAATGGCAAGTGGGAAAGAACAGGCGTTGGAAGACGCGCCAGCAGCACTTTATAGGTCTGATGTATGGGACCGCTTTGCATTTAGAGTGACCTACGATGACGGCGGAAAGAAAGTTGTGGATAAAAGTGCAACAGTGTGCAAGCATTGTGCAACACGTTTTGTTTATGCTAACACCAACATGACCAACATGTTATGCTAACCCCAAAATCCCACATACTCCGTCAGCCCTCCGCCCCGCTGCGCCATACCCACACAATTCTCCACAACAACTGATTTTTTTCTGCTACACCCGGCTAACCGGCTTCGCTTCTTCTTCTTCTTGTTTACTACTGGTGGTTGGCTTTGGTTGCAGTACCGCCACCTTCTGCTCTGGAGTGTAAACGCTTCGCCTATGAGAAAATGGAGCAGCGCATGAACCGAACGCAACACATGTGAACCGAACCGAGACAGTCGAACCGAACGGTTTGGACAGTTTTCATAAACCGTTCCATCCCTACTGTTGGCTAAAGGCATGTTTTAGGGTCTCAATACTTTAGTTAACATTTAATGGACTGCTTAATTAGTTGAGGTTTATTTCCAGAATCAGTTATGACGATTAATCCGACCAATAGTTTCAGCCCTATCCATATTCTTTATTCTTTTTCTAGCCCCAACATTATTTCCTTTTATTTATTTTTTTTTCTTTTCCATTCTTATATCCTACCTTACTTCCTTCTTTGTTTCCTTCTTTCCATTCTTGCACCTTCTGGTTGTTCCAGGTTCCATACCTGGACCGTATATTAAACTTAAGTGTCATAGTGTTGTACTTATAGAAAATGTTTGAATTGTCAGAGCATATGTCGTCCACATAAATAGCTTTGTGAATCAGACCCCAGGATTCTTTTAAACCTAATATTAGCTACATTAGAAAGCCTGATGTTTCTGTGCTCGCCTCCTGGGATTATATAACCCCGGTGATGATTAGAATGATGCTCATGTACTGATTCTGGAAGCTAGAAGTCTGACCAAATTAAATGCGGTCAGACTGACCACATAATTCTGGATCAGAGGTATAATGAAGTTTTTTTCCTCTATTTAAGTCTCTCTTTTTTTCCTGCCTCCACAATGAAGACTCATGCTCACCTTTTCTTCTCCCATGCAGCATTTTATCAGCCTGCACAGCAGCTGCTGAGTGACGTTCAGTCAGGACTTAAAGCTCCTGACCTCTTGGCTGCTTCTATTTCAGGCTGTGAAAGCATGAATCACAAATGTTCCTTTTCTTGTTGTTGTGGGTAACCTGTTTAGTATTGTTGGAATAAATTTGTTTTCCTCTGTTCATGAAACAGTATTAGCTGTCTGGCTGAGCAGTCTTTGCTTCAGAGATATTCATTGCTTGTTCAATTAAGTGTTAATTTCAGTCTGATTTATGCCATTTTTGCAGAGAGGCGGCATGGTTCTACCATCAAGCCAGCCTCCACGTCACCCTTTCTGGTACCGGGCAGAAACCGAAGTGCTGGCAGCGGGATAAGCTCTGGGACCATGGCTGGAGTGACAAGCGGAGGACTCCTCGGCCGATCATCCACCGCCGTCTCCGGTGTGACGTCATCTTCTTCATCAGCATCCTCCAATCAAAAATTTCAGAAATCAGCCAAAGACAAACAACAAGGTTTTCAGCGAAGACCTGCTCCCAACCAATACAGGGCGAGCCAGCCTGAAAAAATGTACGTTTTTCCTTTTGACTTGTGCAGATTATTTAGTATTAGGCCTTGGGCCCTTATTTATTCCATGAGGGCTGTATGACTTTTAGGCACACTTTTAGTATTTTGATCTATGTTACAGTCTGTGTTCACTGCATCTGCAACGTGTTGTGTAATTAAAGCCTGTGGCTACAGCTGTAGGCTGTAGCCACAGGCTCAGTGGTATTTATTTTTTATTTTACCTTTATTTTACCAGGAAGTCCCTTGAGATAAAATCTCTTTTTCGAGGGAGACCTGGCCAAGAGACAGCAGTACAGTAGACTAAGCCACAACAGGCTAAGTTTTAGTATCACAATGACTGGTCAAAGGAAGGTGACCAAACAACGCCTGTACCCTGAAAAGGCCATCCTAACAAATGAATCTGATTTTAGAGTCTGATGAATGATGCACGGACAGTGTAGCATGAAGCTCATTTAAAACAGCTGGTTACGCAGCTTACAGTCTGAGTAGAGGTGCTGAGCTCGGCGTTCAGCCTTTATATAAAGAAAGGAGAGTTCCAGCTCTTCACCCTCGACAGGAAGCTGTCCTGTGATATTAACAAATGTGTAAATTGATCAATTTAGTTTTAATTAAACCAATGTTTGCTGTGATAAAGGTTTGGTTCACGCTAGGATGTGTTGCTCCTGTTGTCAAAGTTCACTGTGCCCTAGGTTAAAAGAAGGGCTGGAATCTGTTTAATCTGACTAAAGATGTAAAGTGCAAAATAAACCAAAGTTTCATGAACAAACAGAACAACATAAGTAAAGACTAGAGCTGAGGGGGCTGTGGCATGAGTGAGAGAAGGGGAGAGAAATCTATACAAGGTGATTTAGAAAAGAAAAACTACCGGTACCCTGAGTGACAAATAAAGGTTTATAAAAAGTCATACGTTTCAGACCTGACAGATGACCTTTAGTTTGCACTTTCAGAGGTAGCTATGAGTTGTTTTGTTAATTTATTATACGAATTTGCGAACACAGACTTTCAGGCTTAGCTATATTGTAAACATGAATTTATGCAAGAAACATGTGAAACACGTGGAGCCTGTGGCTCCAAATAGAAATGGTTAGATGTGGGGTATTTTTAACTGTTATTTCCAAAATGTTATATTGGAAGTGGTGGCAAAATATTTAAATAGGTTTGCACAGGCACCTGCTAACATTCCTGACAGTTTTTCTCCAGCTTTTATGTTTTTATATGTATATTGAAATTCTATTGTATGGAGAAATATGTCGCGATACAAGTTTTGATTATATCATCCAGCCCTAGTTGATACGTTTAGTTTTGTTATGCATACTGTTTTTGGGGAAATGTGATTTTCTTTTCTTTTCATCATCCTCTATAAATGTTGTCTATGAGAGCACGCCTGCAACGTTATAATACAGACATAGACAAATGCATAGACTGTGGTCTAATGTGTCCAGTCAGCAATTTCATTCCTGTCACTGACACCTTACTTTTAGAAAATGTCCTTTAGAAATAGGGCAGCCTAGATGTTGGGATAGAGGGTTAAGGAGTTTCACGCAATTTAGATCTTAGATATTACAAACACAGATATCAATGTATTATTTCATGTAGAGCTCATGTGCCCTGACAACTGCATGATGCTTTTCTGCAAGAAGGAAGCATCTTTAATGGAGGGTTTAATTAATCATGAACATTTTTGTAGATCCATATTAAAGCATCAGCTTATCTCGTCTCTATAAAAGGTTAAGTTTAATTGAAATGAATACATTGGTAATATGAAATGATTTATATTGTTATTCCTCCGTCTCTTTTAGTGCCTTTTTCAGTTACTTTTAATGGAAACAGACCAGCAAAACCTTAAAAGGATAATGCCCCCTATGGGGACAATAAGTATAAAGTATGATGCAGAGCTGGAGTTTTGGCCCTCACTGCCCTCTCCGTCCCTGTGATTTTCTCTTCCAGCCTTACCCCCGCTGTTAAGGTGGAGAAGATGCATCTAAAGCCGGACTCGTCAGCGAAGCTGGGGCAGGCTCCACCGGCCCCCGCCGCCACCTCATCCTGCTCCTCTGCACCATCCTCTAACACCACTGTGAGCACTGCCGTCATCACGACTTCCACGTCCTCCTCATCATCGTCGTCATCATCATCAGCCCTTAAACCAGGCCTTAACTCTCCCTCCATACCAAAGCCTCCATTGCTGGTTTCTGGTCCAATTCCCAACGGCAAGGGCCTGCCCGCAGACAAGAAGCAAGACAGCAGCAGCAGTAGCAAACGCCACGTTAACAAGAAGGTGTCAGGTCAGTTGGAAGGGGACCAGAGATGAACAATACTTTTTTTTAAGCAGCTTGTTTTTTTTTGACTGTAAATAATCATACGATTGGTTTAAAAGCTGCCTATTATTCTTTAATGACCTAACTCTCAGATATTGTTTCCTTTCTTTCAACATTTTTTAATCCAGATCATTTCACGCATGACATCAGCGCATCAGCTGTGTAGCTTAATTATTCATCTTAGAATTACACATCTAACAGAAACCATCTGATTAACCTCCCAAGACAGAAACTTTATGTTGTATACATAACATGTTAGTAGTGACTGAGCTAATGTTTTTAATCCTGCTTTTTGTGCCTGTAGAGCGTGAGTTCAATCCTGATATCCACTGTGGCGTTTTGGATGCTACAGGTCGGAAACCCTGCACAAGATCCCTAACATGCAAGGTACACACTCCTCAGCAAATGAATCATATCATTAATTCTAAACTGAGCAAAAAGCACGTAGTATTTACCAAAAAGAGGCCTGTTGTTTTTTAAAAACTGTGAAGTATCCCTCAATGTAATAGCTTTGGGCCTCTAAATAAAGGTTTTTAACCTTTATAAGCAACTGATTGAAAACTGAATGTCTGCAGCATTTTTTTTTAATAAAATATCTCGGGTCATATATCAAGAAAGAAGGGATCAGCACTTCTCACATTATTGGTCCAAATGAAAGCTGACCTCAGAAGAACATTTTTTATTATGGTGATGAAGACCCACTTAACATATTTTTTCAGGTATTTGTACAATAAGAGCTTTAATGAATACAAATATATTTAATAACATAATTATAACACTGTTATTTCTTTTCAGTCTAGCTTTAAAAACACTATTAGGTTGGTTTAATCATATTATTTGTGTTTTGTAATTTTCACTGCAGGGTATTATCCATACAGCCTGCAGCCGAAAAAGATCCCAATGGGTTTTTAAACTCTTTAGATTGTGACTTCTGTTGTTATCTTAGTAAATACAGTAACAAACTTTCAAATTCATATGTTACATCCTGTGAAGACAAAACACCTCCTGGATCGCACTGACCGTTCATAAAATCATGAGTGGGTACGACATTATCTGCAGTCAGTGCATTGGTCCTTTACCAAACAACAGTGTCTTACTGGTAATCATCCTATTTGTGATGCTTTGAATTTAATTGACACCCCTCATCTTTTCATGCTTTGGATCAGAGATGATTGGAGATCTTTGTCATTTTTGCAAAGGCTGAAGCTTGTTTATAGAAACCTTTCTTTATGACCACATCAACCCAAGATGCAGATTTTCTGCTGTGCAAGGAGCAGCAGGAGAGGGTGACTCCAGCCCCCTGGACACCTTGTTCCTTTTCTAAAGTGTATACAGAATTCAGAAAGGGGGCGGCCACGCCTTGAACTGTTTGGTGGAAGGGGTTTTGGTTTCTGAAATGAAATCTGTCTATTGCTGCATTTTGTACTGGATACAGAACAAAAAATGAAAGACTTTTCCTTATACTTCAATGCCAAACTTCGTCCCAATCCTAGGAAATATCTTCGATAAACATTAATATGACATCAAAATCTGTATATAACAGAGGATCCTTTCTAGTAAAGAGCAAATTATACAATAAATTACACTATTTCCATTTCCTTATTTGGGGAAAATCCAGTATACGGACATAATTCGGCCCTCATTTAAAAAAAAAAAATCAATAATTTTGGCATCACTTCTCTCTTTGGCAAAACATTAGAAGATACTTTGGATTGGTGTTAATATCAGTTTTCCATTGATTCTACTTTTTTTGGAATGGCTTCCCTGTTGTGTATCACTTTGTGCCTTCATTTGCCCATCAGTTAAGAAGCATTGATTTTTCATGGTGCAGAGCTGCTCATTTGGAAAGCACTTATATATAAATGATGCCAAAACTGGTAATGAAATCCTACAGTAACGGCAGAGGAAGGTATGAGGAGAAACAGGGTTTAAATAGACAGGGGATTTAAGGCATAGCTGTTCCCTGTCAACCGTTAACTCTAAACCTGCCCCACTTCACCTGAGAGACTGGATGTCAATATCAGAGAAAACTGACAGGAGTCTATGAAAAGCTTCAACAGCTATTAAGCCATAATTATTCAAAATGAACAGAAACAAACCCAATCAGTGATCCGTGGGAAAGTTGTTTTTATGATGGCCACTAGTCCACATTTCTGCCATCTTGGTAAATAAGTAGAGAAGTTTGATAACACATATTAGTGAGTTCCTGTTTTGTTAATTATATCTCAACATGCCAACAGACACATTCCTTAAGCCATCGGCGGGCCGTGCCTGGACGAAGGAAGCGCTTCGACATATTGCTAGCAGAACACAAGAACAGACCGAGAGAGCGGGACAGGGATCGAGAACCGCACCAAACCCATCCCCAGCAAACTGCCCCTCTCAGGGACCCACACCCCTCTCCCCAGCTCCCCCCTAGCCATGACACCCACCCGGTTTCTCATGGCAACGGACCAGCCCCCGATACCACAAAGCCTTTGTTATTGGTGAAGTCCAAATTTCACGGCCCTGGTCTTCCACGGTAAGTGCTGTGCCGCTTTTGGGCAAGTTTTTGTAGCAATTTGTCGTTTTCCAAAATAGGTTGCATGTTTTGTTTGCCTTATCTTCCCAATCGTGTCTCAATCAGACTGAACAACAGTCATTCTGGAGGCTCCTCGGATCCTTCAGTGGTCCATGAGTCCCTGCACCATCCCCAGTCTACGCCAGATGCTGTATCCAGACCCTCGAGTGATGAAGGAGAGAATGAGGAGCGGGAAGACAGCACAGACAAACTGGACTGTCTCTATTCAGGTTACCACCCTCGACCGGCAGCTGTAAGTGATGTATACCTATAAATCAATAAACATACAAAGGATGACAACATTTGTCCCTCACTTACGCTCTCTTTCTTTTCCAGTACTGTACGTTTGGAAGTCGACTGATCGGGAGGGGCTTTTACTCCTTTGATAGGCGATGGGACAGAGTGCGATGTGCACTAACCACCATGATGGAAAAGCATGTTAACTCTCAGCTGTGGAAGTAAGTCTCTTTCCTTTTTTTTTAGGTTTAGCCACAGGAAATAAATGCAATGTTTCCAGAGTTTAGACAAGTGTACATTTATTTTATCCTTTCCCAGTCAGTATGTTAGGTTAAAAAGGAAAAATATGTATTTTACTGTCGTTTTTACGCCCTTGATAAATAAAAGTCTGAGATTCCTGTTAAGCCTAAAGTTTCAAAGCAGAAAAGTGCTTCTTTTTAAGAAACACAAGAGTTAAAGATTTAACAAGGGAGCTGATAAGAAAGCCTTTAAAAATTTCTATACCACATAAAAAGTATTATTTTTATTTCTTTAACTCTTCACTATTATTTTATTCTTATACAGTTTTCTAAGGTCCACATTTGTGTAACCATATTTTTCTATAATGTTTTTGCTGCTGTAAACACCTAAATTGCCCCATTGTGGGGAAAATAAATGGATTTTCTATTCTATTCTAAACCCACACATCTAACGGTTTTGTGGTTAAATTCAAAACTAATAAACTGTATTCCTTCTTTTTTTTCTTTATTTCTTAGGAAAATCCCATTCGCCTTGGAAAATTCCCCTCTTGTAGCCCCCCATAGGACAAGCACAAATTCCCACAGTAGCACTCCCTCATCAGGCTTCCTGAGCCCCCCCGCAGCCTTGCCCCAAACCCCCTATAGCCAATCTAGTGAGAGCAAGGCATCGCTCTCCTATGGGACCACCTTAAATGCTCACAGCTCCCTTCAGGGCGGCCAGGAGCACCCGGCCTTTGGCACCACGCAGGCCAGACAAGTGTCTTCGTTGCCGCAGATGCCTTCAGCCCACTTGTCCTCATCTTTGTCTTCTTCAGCTCCTTCCCTAGCCTCAGGCCGGGCGCTGAAGTCACGTTCATCTGGCAGCAGCGCCACTACCAAATCATCCTCCTCATCCTTCAAGTCCAAGGAAATTTCCTCTGGCTCGTCCACAGCTGCCCTACCAAACTCTACTAGTGGCGGGAGCACTGGAGCGAGCATAAACAGTAGCAGCGCTAGCTTCAGCACGGGGAAGAAGAGGAAGAACGCTTCTGTCCTTTCCTCCACCCATTGCTCTTCTGAATCCTCTGCTTCTAATGCCAATTTCCCTTCATCATCATCATCCTCTTTTAAGAAGAACTGTGCAAATGTTGGCAGCTCAGGGAGCACCTACCATCATGGCTCATTAGGACCTTCATCTTCGCTATCCTCCTCCCATAGTGGAGTTCACAGCGTGGGGCTGAACTGTGGCCCTAGTGTGCGGACCAACTCACTCAGTCTCAAGGCAGAGCCTTCTGGAGGCTCAGCAGGTGGCTCCTCTGGGCCCCCGACACGAGGCCCTCCCTCAGGCAGCCCCGCAGAGTCCATAAAGCGTATGAGTGTAGTTATGAACAGCAGTGACTCAACTCTTTCTCTGGGGCCTTTTGTCCACCACCAGCCCGCCTCCTCATCAGACCATCACACCAACTTTAGTCACCACTCCTCAGATGGACGCCTGGAGGCAAAGAAGCGCAAAAGCTCCTCTGCTTCGAGTGGCATCAACAGCGGAGGTGGTAGTCTGGGAAGGGAAGGAGCAGCAGGAGGAACCGGACCAGGCAGACCCAAAATGACAAAGTCCCCGGCTCTTAATAACATCCATGGGAAACATAGTCGAAGCATTCCAGGGACGCCAGGTCTACCCAACAATTCACATTTACATCAGGTTGGTGTTTATAGAGTCATTTCATTTGTTTTGCATAAATAAGCAAAAAGTTTTGTTTTTTTTTACAATGCATAAATGATGCCATTAAAAAAGCATGGTCAGAATCAGAACACTTCTGAAATACTTCAATTATAAACTCAATTCTCATGTATTTGTGGGAGAACCTTCTGTTTGCTCGGTAATACAAATTTTAAGTAGTGATGACGCCACATTTTTATAACATTTAAACATGATTGCATTTTCCGTAATTTTCTGACTATAAGCCGCGACTTTTTCCCCATATTTCTACCTTGCGGCTTAAAAACAATGAGGCTTATCTACGGACTTTTACAGGGTAATACCTAAATCTATGGATTTTATCATCCAACATGTTGACGTCACATTTGCTTCAACACACAAGTACGGTAGCCCGCGCGCGGGAATGCGGAGGTCCTCCGGAAGCAGACTTCTACCGCGAGTGGTACGAGACAGAACGACAGCGATAAAGACGGACATTAAACATAACAAACCTGCGGCTTATATTCAGGTGCGGCTAATAGTCCGAAAATTACGGTTATTGTTTTTAGCCACATATTGTTTTTTACTGGAATTATATGGGAATCACTTATAAAATTGTTGCATACCTGTATGCAAACAGCTCTGCCTCTGGAGGAAGACAACTAAAGCTGGGCGTACGCTGAGCGATCTTTTTCCGTCGTTGCACGCAGCTACTGCTCACTCTGTTTGAATAAAACCGCAGGGTTTGGTCGTACAGTGTGAGTTCACAGCTTACGATGTATGTGCAGCACGACGCTCTGATGCACTCTACCTGCTCACACTGTACGACTAAAAACCACGTTGGACTCAGCTCCACAGTGAGATGGAGCTACTCTGACTCCTCTCTCCGGAAGCCAAACAAATAGAAGGGGAATATTAAGCTCACTATAGTGAAACGCACTGCCTTGGCAATTTGTGCAATTTTGTGCTGAAAGCCCTAAAAAGAAAAGGTGATGACGTATTTGGAAAAAGACATGGCTGAGCAAACGTGGCTACTACGGTCTGTCAATTTTACAGACAGAACTGCATTTCACTCATTGCACCTCTGCCACGCTGCTGTGTTTACATCTGAGAGGAAGAAGAATCCTTGTTTGCCCACTGAGCGATTTGCCCATGATGGTCGGGAGAAAATCTAACATGTTTGATCTCACGATTCCTGATCAGGAGGTGGTCATGAGAGGCTGATCGCCCCTCGTATCCCCCTGTTCACTACACAACTCACGATGCACGATCAGGCTAAAAGTCGGTCCGACTGGAAAATCGCACAGTGTACACCGGGCTTAACTTTCTATTTCATGTAATTGATCTCAAGCTACTTTGCCAACAGTGGGTAAACTTTTCCAAGGTGGTTTGATGCAACAAAAAAATAAAATCACAGCTGATAGATGCATGTAGAAAGTCCAACTTAATTTTATAGACTTGCTTCTGAGCAATTGAAGTGTACAGTTTTAACAGCAACACAGTAAATCAACAAGGCAATTAATCAGGCATTAAGAAAAAGACATCAGACATCATTTTTTTCCCACATCAAGTCAGGAAAGTTATTTCAAATCAGCAATGGATAAATCAGCGTTAAAGCTGACTGTTTTCCACAGTGGGAAGAGGGTCAATAGATTTAATCTTGGTTGTGAGTGAAATTGTGTCTGAGGCCTTTTGTTGTTGCAGAAGTTGGTGAATGTAATGCTAAACAGGGTAAAATCTGAAAAATGTTTCATCATGAATATAATCATGCTGTGTATGGTTATTTGTAGCCCATGACAGCACATCGCCTTTGTTACTGTTTCTTACCACACAGGTTCATAATAATTAAGCTAAACATAGGTAAAAAGTGTAATAATAATAATAAAAAATAAATAAATAAAAGGACCAGTAATTGCCATTTATAACTATTGTGTTGAGCCGCTCATGCGGTCTGCAGCAGTCTGTAGTCAATCTTTTGTATTTCCAAGCAGTCCTTTTTGGTTTTAGAAACAACATTTAGCCATTTATTAGTTTATTTTTTGTTTTTAACTAAATATCCACGCCCACTCTGTGTTCTTAATGTAACATCCTGGTAAAGTTATTGTTTAACTTAAGGACAAGTCACAATAAGGGGACCTATTAGTTGCTGACGAGCATCGAGGGTAAAAAGGTCATCTAGAAAATATGTTAAACCAAAGAGACCCGTCAGTAGATTGGCTTTTGTGTGAAACTTATTGGCATCTTGTCTTTTGTTTCCTCAGCCAAAAGCTCGTCCCTGACAGCGACTTCCTGCCTCTGCCATGAAAACGGGCGGACAGAGAAAAGTCCAGAGTGGTGTGCAAGCTGTTCTGGACTGCACGAGGCCTTGTGAAATAAAATCCACGTGACTCTCAGCTTCCCACAATCCTCAGGGTGGAGATGATCTGGACTGCTTAGTGAAGTAGACGCTGTCCTTACTGTTTCTCCCAAAGCCATGTGTGAGTGTGTCTGAAGAGACGTGGATAGGCAGAGGTTCTGAATGCAATGTAGAACCCCCCCTCCCCCCACAATCTGAGAGGTCTTCCCAGCTGTTTAGGAGGTAGAGGGAGCACAGCAAGCCGCTCTCCTCTGAGTAAGTAGAGGAGCGAGTGCGTAAACTGTGCAATGTCATATTCTGCTGGAGTCCCCAACGTAAATACACCCCCCCCCCCCATCGCCTGATCTCAGAAGCCTTGCAAAGGAGAGCAGGAGAAGAAAAGTGATGACTGTATTACCTACGACATACAGCGGCAGCCCCCCCCTGCCCCTCCCGCCGGCAGATAATCTGGTTAGCTCTGTAATCATCCACGATAATTATGCAAGAATAACCTTTTTCTGATTTCTTAGAAGCTTTTTACACTGTCCTATAAAAGGGGGTCTTTGTAGCCTTGAGGAAGATGGTTGTTTTTTTTTTTTTTTTATGTGAAAAAGGACACCTGACGTGCCCATTGGATCGATTCCTCCGTTGGAGAGAAAAGCCTGTTCCTGAGGGGACGCCTGTTCAGTTCCTGAATCTATACATTGTGCAAAAAAAACACCACAGTAACAGTAGACCTAACCCCCCCCACCCCCTTCTCCGACTGTGAAAACAGCACTAAATACTTTTCTCCACTGATGCTGCTTAGCTGTCCACAAAGCTCGCCAAAAGCTGCTGCAGCTTTGCAGACTTCATTTATTTTTAACTTCAGAAAAGAAAAGGCATTGAGGGGGGCGGAGTTCCGCTCATGAAGAAGTAACCAGTGCAATGTGGATCAAAAAGAAACTTTAACAAGCTGTATGGTTTTAGCCACAACTTAACTACTTTATCTCCACGAAGCTGTGTGAAACCCCTCAGCTGCGTGTGGAAAGATGTGAATTGTAATGTTTTGTTTTGGTTTCTTCACACGGAATCAGGTACGGTACGTCTTAACTGGAACAAACTTGCACGTCTGCTCGTCTCCGAGGTTTTAGTTGTCCCTTCCGGTGTCTAACCACTACCACATCTCTGGATGTTACCTTATCAACGCCTCGCTGATAAAGCTGTTCTCTATGGAGTGCCAAAACTGCAAAAATATATTAAACATTATACATCGAGAAATAATGAAATAAAAAATCCAAATTTATGCAAATCTGCTGAATATGTTTATAGCATTCAATGTGAATTTAATTTAAATTTGAAGTCATGTTTAAAACCATTAGTTTGTGGTTGTTTTGCTGCCGTCCGCCATGACACGCAAACATAGACTGTGACATCTGATTGGTGATCTTTACATCTCCTTCTGACCAATCATTTAAAGACGATATGAGCCACGCCCACTCAGTCAGATGGGTAATACTACAAGATAAAATAAATGCAGCTTTTGACCATGAAATAATTGGTCTGATATTTTTTTAGCTAGTCTATTCAAGGCTTTGGCTAATTGAACATTTATCTTTAGGCATTTTTTTGCTATTTTAATTTATTACATTTGGGCACTTTTGAAACTCCATAGATGGCATTATACTAATACAGGTAGATCTCAATAAAATGGTGCATCTGTTGTTTAATTCAGAAAATGAAACTTATGAATAGACACTGTGATATATATTTTAAAGGTTTATTTCCACTCCCATTTGGAGATAAAGGCTTACAGCCCAATAGAACCTTCTGGTAAGTTTCTCAAATGACTACAAATAATTACACAAGATCAATAAAATTGGGATGTTGCCTTTGAGAAGTATCTCTATGTGAAGCATAGTGCATGCCCTCAATCCCTGCTCTTTCTTAGCATAGATCACTGCTTCAGTGCCGCATGGCGGGTAGATCAGCCTGTGGCTCTTGTGAAGTTTGTTATAGTAGTATTTTGTTATAGACATCTTATCCATGCTCTCTGGTGTCTTCTTGGAAAAAAAATATCAAGAGATTCTGTGTGCGGTTTAGTTTTGTGGTAGACAGCTGCTACTTTGGACCAACACCAGCAAATCTGACCCCAAATGAACACTTTAAACTTGAGCTCAACTCTTCTACTGTTTGGAACTTTGATTTTCAAATCAAAATCAACATTTACCTTCATTTGAAAAGGAGAACTTTGGATCTTTGAGCCAAATTAGCTGCTTTTCTTTTATGAAATTGCTCAGCTCAAGATATGCACAGGTTAATGTCGTAGAGACGTGTTTGGAGGCCTGATTCTGGTAAAGGCTTGGACGCTTTCTTTGAACAGCCAGTTTCTGCAGTAAAGATGTCTTTTGTAGGGATGGAAACGTGACTTTCTGCTGGACAAGGTCAAGCGATTGTGTTAAAAAGTCCTTTTTTATTGGTCTTATGTAGTAGTTTCAGTTGTTTGAGAACTTTCAGCTGATAATCATTAACCAAACACTTGAAATATACCCCTAAGAATCAGTTTCTCTGTTTAGAATTGCATTATTGAAACAAACTCCGGACGCCCTTATTTTCCAATTATTTTATCAAACCAGTCTTAAGACACGCAGTGCTTGCCCATCGTATCAGAATGTCTGCTTTTTGAATAGGAGTTTTACGGTGCGAGATTCATGGAGATGACTTCGAGAAAATCAGAGCTTTGGTAACCCTTGTTGATTTATATAAAATCCCCTCACTGATGTCAAGTGGAGCCGAAACACTTTATTTTTAGGAAAGACTCTTTAATTCACCTCATTTTATTGTAGCCTATGTATCAAACATGTGTCCCTATTTGAGAATACATATTTTGTTAACAATTGTACATAGTAAAGTATGTATTTTTGCACGGGCATTTTTCCTACAAATGAATTTTTTAGTACAATTTTGGAGATTATTTATAAAAATAAAAAGTGTCCGCGGAGAGGACTATTTTAAAGTGGTTCACTGCCAAGTCTACAATGCAATACATCTGAATACATCGAAGCATCTCATGAATCGTGTACTCTACCTTTAAGGAGGGAAGGGGGGGGAAGATATCGCCACTGTAGCATGTGTCTGTATGAAAGTAACCTTTATTCACTTACCAAGGTCTGAATCACATGTGCTTTTACCAGACGCTTTTATGTTGCCTATAGATCAAACTCTGTAACCCTGAAGTTTGAAATGTCATGGCCTGAAGCTGTGCTCTTTTATCCAAATGAAAAAACACTTGAAGACGATCAGGGGGTAAAAAAAAAAACAAAAAAAAACGCTGTAAGGACTTGGCTACCTGCAAGGAAGAGAGGAACGGTTTGCTTCCTCGCTGCCAATCCATTTAAATCCCAGCTTTTCCAGAATGAGTTCAGCAGCTTCTAGAAATATCAAATCAAGAAAGTGCCTGAATTTGTTTTTCTCCCCGACTCTTTGAAGACAGTATTCGTTGGGTTGTTTTAACCTACTTGAATGTTCAGAGTATTGGAGTTTGGTTCAGTATATCAGCCTGTGAACCCTTAAAAAGCAGAGCTCCTCATCTGCTCAGCAAACAAACCTTAGTTTTCCTTCCACAACACAAACATTTTATTTCATTCACCTGTTGGAGAGTTTCTGTCCGCACTGCAGACCTGGAATGTTAACGTCATAATACAAATCAAGGCTGGGAAAGAGGAAAAAAACAACAACCCACCATTCATTCTTTGTAAAAGCGTGTATAGATTTGTTTTCTGTATACATTATCAGAATCATTTCAGCTGGACTTTACGTATTGGCTGCTATGTAATTCATGAACAAAAAAGCATAGGTTAGAATTAATATTTAAAGAAAAAGATTGTATAGTATATTTGTTTTGTAACAAGTTTGTGTAAATAAAATAATTTATACTGTTATTTATATGAAAAGTTGCCTCTGCCTTGTTTGTCAAAAGAACTTGAGACCATTTTAGGTAAACAGGTTTATTATATACACAATATAAGCCACTTTGTCAGACAAATAACAGGTTTGGGTAATCCAACGGGAAACATCACTGAAATAAAGATGGCCGCCGTAGTTACATGTTAATGACTCTTGATAGCTTCTGCACTCTGTTGAGCAGCAGGTCGCCTTTTTTGATGGTTTCCTGGTACTGCCAGTTTTTGCTATCAGGTCTGCAAAAAAAAAAAAAAAAAAAGCAGGACAAAATGTTAAGTTCATTCTCTGGTTAAAAAAAAAGAAAAAATTACTGCATTGGTATATTTGGGCATTTAAATGTACAAACGTTACCTATTGGTTTCCACAATCTCGTTAACATTATCAATTTTACAGTGCAGACGTCCGGCAGCTATGAATCGGGATAGCTCCCTGCAGGCAAAAGCAATGACATGAGGATTCAAGTGATGTGATGAATGCAGACTGATTATGATACTAATTACCAATAATAAAGTACATTTCTGCTTCCCACAGAGATTACAGACGCTGAATATTGGACATTTGCTCTAAAGATGCAGGACAAAATAAATTCAACTTTTTTAAAGCAGAAGAAAACTTCGGTGCTAGTAGCCCCGCCCATTTTTTTTTTTTGTTTTGTTTTTTATGACGTCACAAACTGTACTGCACCGGGTTCATAAGAATCAAGTTTCAACAGGAGTGACAACTTTATTATGCTCATTTGCTACTATTTTAATTTATTCCCTTTGGTAACAGAGTAGCCAAAAGTAGAAAACAATAATTCTTGAAGGAAAGTGCTGACTTCTAAGACAGACTGAACTCTGCATTTAACAGGATGACAAGTCTCAATCCATGTCTTATGTCCTTATCTGATAACAAATGGAACATATCCGAAAAGAACTATTATTCTACTTGTAGAAAATGAACGGTTTGATTAACTGAATGTTCTTAAGGAGGCTAACCTTTTAGCTACTGAGCACAGCTAGCCACAGCGCTACCTAACTCTGCCCTTTACACCATGGTCTTGAAGTTACATAGCTCTCTTTTTTTTTTATTTTTTATATATATACATATATGGTCTCAGATTTGGCATATGGACCCTGTTTTAAGTTTCTGGGCAATGATCAGCCAATCATATAATGGAATGTTGCAGACAATGTAATTAGACAATGTCTAATTATGTTTTATCCACTGAATAAATGTACTAAAACAGTCCCCCCCTTCAAAACAATTATATCTCCAGCATAAGCTGAAGATTCCAACTCACTGGTCAATGAACTCTGTGCTGACACCAAAGGCCTCCGCCATGTATCCCAGCGTAAGGGAGCGGTAGGACTCCAGCAGCTGGCTGTAGGCCTGGATCCTCATCTCCCTTACATAGTAGCGGTAGTGTGGAGCAAAGAGCCAGTCTTTCTTCATCTCCTGCTCCACCAGAGCTGGAACAAATGAGGAGAAAACAGGACTCCTTAATACAGAATGCCCAGGGTATGACGACACAATCTTATCCAGTAGGATTTTATTTGTAAATAATAAAAGACAAACTCACCTAAAGACTGGAAGAACACGGAGTAACGGCACTCGTACAAGGAAAATAGATACTGGCGGACAGAAGGGAGGCTGTGCAGCACTTCCAGAATCTCAGCCCCTTTTATCACCTGCAAGAAAAAAAATTTACTGGTTTAAAAACTTACAGGATATTTACAGGCATGATCACTTCTTTCACTTTGTTTCCTAACCTTCTCACGGAGGTCGGGCCTTTGTAGGGCAATCATGCAGACGTAAACTGTATAAGTAACAAAGGTCTTGTAGTCCATGAGCTCGTATGAGGTGAAGGTAGAGACGGTGTCGAGGAAAAGCTCTGCAGCCTGCTTGAAGTCCCTGATGGCCACGCAGTAAAGGCCCTGGTACACCTTCAGACGGTTCCTCCTGTCCCAGTCTCCTCCCTCTTCGATGAGACTGAAACCAAACAAAAGCTGTTAACACACCGCAAAGATAACAGCGACGCCTTAAGAGGGAGGACGTACCTCTTTGCCTTTTCTGAGTTGCGGGTGATGAGGTCACTGTCCATGTAGAAGAGCCCGATCCTCAGCAGGTAGAAGACTATGTCTAACCTGTGACCAAGAGCCACAGTCTTGTCGTAGGTCTTCCTGAAAGCTGTTAGAGCGCCCTCCTAAAGCAACAGAGGACAAATGGGCGGGGTCATTTCTGATTGTTTACTTACAGGCAAAACATATCTTGCTGTGAAAAGAGGTGAGATAAGTAAATGTACAATGTATAAGCTAAGAATGTGAAAGAATAAGCTCTGTCCCGAATACATCTGGGAGCTGGATCTTCAGTCACTGATTTCAGCTCTAGTTAATGTCTTATGAAGCTACC